TATATGATTTTTTAGAAAGTTTTAATGTATTTAAATTAACTTCCATTAGAAGGGACATTTTTAAATTGAGTTTATGATTTATTTCTACATAGAGATTGTTCGTGATAGTAGCTAACAAATCAATCGTGAAATCAACAACTCTAATTTTTTCATCAAAATATATCTTGTACTTAAAGGCAAGTGTGTTAACCACCTTGTGCCACTATTCATGGAATGAATGTTAACATATGTTACTTAATTATAATAGCATTAATTCATTCCTTTAATGTTACTCCAATTAATCATAGCATTCAACATTTACTCGCACCATATATAAGAAATGAAGCAGAGTAAATGTATTTATCTAATTAGTTTCTATTTCGTTTTATTTCTATTTTGGATATAAAGGTGCTTATATATCATGTAATTTAACATGAAATGAAATGAAATGAAGTAAAACTAAAAGAATTCATCATCAATATTAATATTTCAGGAGGTAAATGTTTTATTTTGCTAAATATTACATACTTGAATGGTCCATCATATCTCACCTGTTCTTTATTATTTATTTTTATTTTTAAAGGTAGAAGCAAAATAATAATGTTAATTATGAGTGGGTAGGATTGATTCCGATAAAATTGGAACGATACATGGAAGATTAGCATGGCCCCTGCACAAGGTTGACACACATAATTCGATATATATATATATATATATATATATATATATATATATATCAAAGTTAAATTCTTCGATTAGTAAAAAAATAAAAAATAAAATCTGTTGGGCATAATATATTAATTTCAAATTGGCTAATTTCTCAAGTAAGAAAATTTTACCCTCAAGCAATTATGTTCAAATTTCCTTTTAAGCTAAGTATATTAATGCATTATGTTATTTAATGTAAATCTGTATATTTGTCTTATTTCTAATAGATTTTAATCAATATTCTTTGAAGAAAAATGCAAATTTTTAAACAGTAGTTTACAAAATGAAGATGAATTGTATTTCAATAGTATAAAATTGTAACCTTGTTGTCCTACATACTAGAATTGAATTCCCAATAGAAGCTTTTAATTTGTGTTTACTCCTTTAAATTCACTGTGGCTATTGAAGCTAGGGTTTTGTGGCAAAGTTGGATAAAGAAGAGGGCTGGAAGAATTTGGAAAAGCAAGAGGGTATCAGCAAGATGGCAGATGATGATGACTACAATGACATAGACATGGGGTACGAGGATGATCCACCAGAACCTAACTTTGAGGGAAGTTCAGAGGTTGAGAAAGATAGCAACTATGATATTCCATTTGATGTTTTTGTTCCTGAAATCAGCAAAAGTGAACAAGAAGTAGATGAGCGACCTAAGAAAACATCCAAGTACATGACAAAGTATGAGCGTGCAAAGATTTTAGCCGCGCGTGCTCAACAAATAAGCATGAATGCTCCCATATTTGTCAACCTTGAAGGTGAAACCGATCCTCTGGATATCGCAAGGAAGGAGCTTCAGAAGCGTAAAATTCCTTTCATTATTCGAAGGCATCTTCCTGGTGGGGCTTATGAGGACTGGAGAGCTGATGAACTTATAGTAGATGACCTTTGGAATCGAAAGGTTGCTGATAAATGAGACAGCCTTCAAGCATCTAATCCATGGCAGTAGTATCTGGAACATGAACCCTATTCTCGTGTTAGGAATTTTGACTGGAGGGATATATATATATATATATAGTAAATTCATCTCCAAAACAAGTAATTTATATTTGCTTTGATTTATCATATATTTAAGCTCTTTGATAAAACTTTATAATTTCTTATCCAATGATTGACCAAGCCGATCAGAATAGGAATATCTTACTTATGCTTCTTGCGGATTAGAGAGGACTAATAAGTTCTATACCATTTCCCAAAATAGTGATCTTATTATTACTTATTCCAACAAAATTGTCCACAAGAGCTACCTTTAACCATCCATAAGTCTTTTAGTCAAGTTCTGAAATGACTTATATCTATAGCTGCGACAATTAGGGCTTGATTTGGTAATACCCCCATTTTGTCTACATGGTACATCCATAAAAAAAACTATTTATTCATGCACTATTCTTGAAGTATTTCAAATAATAAGTGTTCCAGGCTCAAATTCAAGTTCATTTAAGCTCACAATTCTAGCATGCTTATAGTAAAAGTGACGGTCTCGACGATGACAGCCTAATGAAGCCAAAATTGGCTCAATCACTACAGTAATCAAGCAAATTTGTGTTGGTCATATTAGATATAAATGGGACGCAAATCCGACGATATTTGAGGTTTATCGTTGTCCAATTTTATTCACGGGTAAATCGGATTGATAATGAGAGTTCCGTTCATTTTGAGTCGGAATATTTTGACGCGAAGTATTTGCTCTGGTTTTTGCGTCATATTACAGTCAAATTTATTTAAGCTACACATGCGTCAAATTTAGCACCTGAAAATATCGGTCGATAATATAATCTTTCGGATTGTTGTTACATTTGCAGCAGAAAATATCGAAGAACGGCGGAAATTACTATCAATTTAACTTCAGAGTATTCGACGCAAACCTACAGTATAGAAAAAAAATATATAAAAGAACATTTACTTTTCTGCATCCTACGAGCAATAAGAAATTCATATCTCAAACACATTTTATCTAACCATATCAGCACTGACCAAAACTCAAATAACTATCATTAATGAAAATTAAGATACTCTAACAAATTGTCCTAGATAAGAATAAAAGAATTAACCAAAAGTTCCACAGTAAACGTTCATACTAATGCTGACATATAAAAGAAAGAACATAAAACGAAACTAATCATCATTTACCTCCTTGTCCTTTTCCTCCTCCTCCTCTACAGCTGCCATCAGTCGCTTGCCCCTGTGATCTGCTAAAGTTTCTGCCATGCACACTATAGAGTCATCAACTTTATGTTGTCCCTCTAAGATTTGGTCATGCAACTGGTGGAGCTCTTTGTTCATTTCACCGACCTTCCTAGCAAGCGCCTCCTGATCTAGTTGTGAGGATCTTCGGGAACTAAGTACCAGACCACTGGACACATCAGCCTCGAAGGCTATGCTATTCACACCATAGCCATAAACCATCTCCTTCTTCTTCCCCTATGCCTAAGTCCAAAGCTCGTACTCAAACTACGCAATGGTGTACTGACTGACATTGCTTTTAGCGGAAGTCCGGGCTTGAATGGCTAATTGCCTCTTCTAGAGCTGCTCAAACTCCTACAACAAAATTAAAACTAATGTTTAATTCACACTTTTAATAGTAAGAGTAAAAATAAAGTTTTAAATTTCTTTTTTATACTTTTAGCAACCCGTCAGTGTCGGTCGATTTTTCCTCATTTTAGAAAATATATATTTTGTTTAATAAATATATAATTTTGATTTTAAAAAATGTGCTTTAATTTTGGAAAGTGAGACCTTAGAGATCTCATATATTTAATAGTTTAAATGATTGAGCACAATACTAAAAGTGATAGTCATCTCGATAGATAAGTGTATCACTTGACCGTAGTCTCGATTATATAAACTAAGAAATATATGACATTTGTTTAGTTTGTGAAATTTGTGGCTAACAATTCCCCTATCTAATATAAAGACTTGACAGTGTTTAGATTATCTGGGTTCTTAATTTGTTATAGAGGCAAACCCCTATAGTTAATTACAACTTAGGCAACCGAAGTTGCCTAAGAAAACTCTCGATAAAGAATAGTGGTTTCTTCTTCAGGCATTCAACGTTAAGTTTTCGTGATATGAACAGTTATTTTGGAGATCAAAGGAGTGAGTAGTAGGGGACGTCACAGATTTTGAGGAGAACCTCAATGACCTCCCAAACTATCCTATTGTTTGGCTTTATGTTTTGGAAATGAGATTATTTATTGTTTACTTCTGTCATTTATTTGGAATTAGGGCTTACACAAATAGCTTAGAAAAATAGGGGGTTCACATCGTCTCGAACGAACAACCTCGGAGTCCTAAAAAGAGTTACGACTTATATTGCTCAACATGATTGTGCAAAAGTCTAAAAGAATAGAGTGATGATTTATGTCATGCTAGATGAACTACCTCGAAGTCCTAGAGGTTCATGTTATTTAAGACTAAGAAAAGTTTAGTTGAGGATCATCTCTAGCTCCATGTTTTATCTTGATCGTCATCTGAAGTCGTCCTCCATTTCCTTGCATCGTCATTGTTTGTCTTGTGAATAGTTCTTTCCAAGTTCTTTGTTGTAGTTTTTTTTTTTTTTTTTTTTTTTACTTTAGTTGAATTGGTTGTTATTGTCGAGTCACTGAGTTTGTTGTAGGGTTCCTCCTAAACAGGTGACTTATTGTTCTCTACCCTAAAGGTCCTTTACAAGTATAGTAAGTAGCGGAATAATAATGTTGCATGCATAAGCAAGATATGTTCAATAAAATGCAGTAAAAGGGAAAGTGTAAGCGTATAAATGCCATCTCTGATGAAATTGTAATTGTCGCAAGCCTGAAATATTTTTAAATGTAAATACATGATATGAAAACATGTATATTTGCGTAAAACTAAGTGGCAGACATATATGAAACATCGAAGCAGGACATAAGTATTTTGATTTAGGGATGGGCTTAGATTTATCATTCCCGAAGGACGTCGTAGGCAGCCATCGGTAATCTGTGTGTATAAAGTTCAACATCGACTATTTCAAGTTCATTTAACCTTTCTATATTGTTAAGTCCATCAACTCATGATGAATTACGAGTTATATTATTATACCTTAAATTGTGCTCAGTGTAAACTTGTTGATTTCCTAGTTAGCCCTCAATGCATTAAGAATTATGTAGATAAACACCCCCGAGGGTGTGTTCATATTCTTTTAGGGAATTTTACACTCTTTCCCTTGATTGGGCTTGAGCTTATAGTGTTTTAAAATATTTCATTATCACATATATTTTCTTCTTTAACTATTCCTCAAAGGATATTTAAATTAAACTTAACTCACTACCAAGTTCTTAAAGCCTGGGGTAAACTTATAATTTTTGAAAAGTTTTGTAAAGTGTGTTTGTTCTTTATTAAAATGATTGAATTTAGTTTGGCCATTAGTTGGGGACTCAAATCAGTCGTTTGTTGATCTTCTAACTTATACCCCTCACTCTTGGATCATCCAAATCTTCATCTCTTCATATATATAATAATTCAAATAATTACAATTTTACCCATTATTAGAAAATTTCATGGAAATTACACTTTGTGTTTCAATCACATTAGTGAGTCAATTACAATAAATTTTATCCCATTTCCCTTTGATCCAACCTAAAATTAGGGTTATGGTGTAAAATTCTCCAATTATAATTATGCCTTTAGGATTAATACCTCCATAATTCTTACATTTTTAATCAAATGACCATGAAATTTCATTGACCTCTTAATCATGGGTCAATTAAAACATCAGAGTTGGAATTATATTTTTAAAATTTTAAATATTTTTTTGTAATTATTTAAACCCATAATTATGAATTTTTAATGATAATTAAGTTAATTTCCTAAAAAATGTCCTCTATCTTTTGGAAAATTTTATAATGGCACTTAAAGATAGAGGACCAATTTGGATCATTTTCATAATTTTTTAATCATATTTTAAATTTTATAATTTTTAATTGATTGTTTATAGGCAAATAAATATAAAAAATATTGTTAATTATAAAACAACTTTTATTTTTCATTAATCCCACTGATCTCAGCAAACTCACCAATTTTTTTTTTGTATTTTTCTTATCTATATTTTTATTTTTTTTAATTATTTAAGTCATTTATATAATCATAGAAAAAAATGTTTAAGTATTCAAAATACATTTCTGTCTTTAAAAACTTTAAGAGGTCATCTTAAAGTCACTATCTTCAATTAAAAGGATTTTGTTGCATTTTGAATTATATTTATATTTCCGTAATTTTTTAATTATTTTTTATAAAAAAAATACTTATGGAAATTATTTTTGATTTTAAATTATATTTTTTTTAAGTGTCTCTAACTTTGATTAACCCTCCAAACTTTATCTCATGTTTTTTCGGACTTATATTTTATATTTTGTAATTATTTCAACAGAACAGAGGTGGATCTCACGGAAAATTACAGAACATTCCTAATCATATGGGGAATAAAGTCTGAAAGTTTCTTGTCATGGTAATTAACATTTAATTATATATTATTTAAATAAGGTTTGGGACATTTAATTTATTAAAATATAGAAATTTAACAAATATTTTTAAACTAAGCACAGGGGTAATTTTATTTTATTTTTCTGATTTTTCTACACCAATATATGATTTTTTAAAATTATTGTTTTTAATTAAATCAAGAAATCTCATACTTTCCTACTTAATGTTGGAGCTGGCTCAACCTATATGACTTCGAAAGACCACACGTCGTCCCTCCATTCATCGCGCTTTAGACCTCAGTCGCCACATACACTCGTGATTTGGGGCCTTATATCTGTTTGATCCATCATCTGCAATGATATGAGTTGTTCGTTTCAAATACACGAGAATGGATAACATCTGGTTATCATCTTAAATGAACTATAACTCAAGAACCATCCATGATTTAGGGTTAAGATCTCGCTCGATTCTCAAACA